AGTTGAGAGAACAGTATAACGAACCCCAGGTGTTCATCATTCGTCCTCAACACATACCAACTCGTGGCCAATCTTGATGTAGCTGTTGTCGTTAGCTGCCATTGAGTAGATTGCGACTCACGGCGACCCCACGTGTGCAGAGTAGAACTGCTCCATAGGGTTTTCAAGGCCGTGACCTTTCAGAAGCAGATCATCAGGGGTGCCTTTGAGGCGCCTCTAGGTGGGTTTGAACCACCAACATTTCAGCTAGTGGTCGAGTGCAACTTGATGCAGCTCTATATCCTGTATTAGTGTCCAGTGCTGCTGTAACTTAGAACCACAAACTGGATGGCTTATACGAGCAGAAAGTTATTCTCTCACGACTCTGGGGACTGGGAGTTCTAAATCAGGGTGTTGGCTGTGGTAATTCCTTCTGAGGGCTCAGAGGGAGAATGTGTTCTAAGCCTCTCTCCCAGCTTGTGGTACGGCCAACAATCCTGGGGGTTCCTGGGCTTGTACACGCATCACTCCAGTCTCTGCCTCTGTTGCCACATGGCCGCCTTGTCTCTATCTCTCTGTATCTCTTCTTTTTCATAAGGACACCACTTAATACTGAATTAGGACCCACCCGACTCCACTATGACCTCATGTTAACTGACAGCATCTTCAGAGACCCTATTTCCCAGCAAAGTCACATTCACAGGTGCTGGGGGCTAGGACTTCAACACATCTTTTTGAGGGGACATCTTTCAATCTATAACATGTCCCCACCCCAGATTACTTTGAAACAAACCCCCAACAGTGTTCCTTGAGAGGTCAGTGGTGGAGGCTCAGACTGACCACACCATGGGGAGTCCACTTCCCTTTGAGCTCCGGCACACTGCCTGGCTCTTGCATTCACCTCTGGGATTAAGTCTGAATGACCAGATGCTTGTCTTGGATTCCGACTGGTTTTTCTCAGTCGCACCTAGGTCCTGAGCAGCCAGGCAACATGGCAGGAACACGGAGTTCTCATCTGTGTACTTCTTGCCTGTCATAGATTGAATTGTGTCCTCCCAGAATATGTGTATCAATTTTGGTAGGCCATGATTCCCAGTATTGTGTGATTGCCCACCATCTTGTCATCTGATGTGATTTTCCTATGTGTTGTAAATCCTACCTCTGTGATATTAATGAGGTGGGAGAGACGACAGTTATGTTAATGAGGCAAGACTCAATCTACAAGATTGGATTGTGTCTTGAGCCAATCTCGAGATATAAAAGAGAGAAGCGAGCAGAGAGACAGGGGGACCTCATACCATCAAGAAAGCAGCGCCGGGAGCAGAGCACGTCCTTTGGACTGGAGGTTCCTGCGCTAAGAAACTCTTAGACCAAGGGAAGATTGATGACAAGGACCTTCCTCCAGAGCTGACACAGAGGGAAAGACTTCCCCTGAAGCTGATGCCTTAAATTTGGACTTCCAGCCTACTAGACTGTGAGAAAATAAATTTCTCTTTGTTAAAGCCATCCACTTGTGGTATTTCTGTTACAGCAGCAGTAGATGACTAAGACATTGCCCTTTAAAGCTTTCCTTCTCAGTTACTCTTTGAGGCAGCTCAATTGTACACAGTAAAATTTATTCTTCCGAGATGACAGGAGCTCTAAAATTCATAGGGATGTGACTATAAAGGTGGCTTTCTTATGATGCTCTGTGGCTTTATAAATCGGTTCTGCCACTTAGGTAATTTTATCAAGACTTTGCAGCTCTCCTGCTCGGTTTAATTTGGATTCTGTAAGGTGCAAATTATGTACACACTCCCCACCCAAAGATGCTAATGAATTTATCACTGCAATTTACTTGACATTCTTGATTAATTTTCACCCAAGTGAAAGAATCATTTCCTTGCTTTGAACTGAAGTACCCGACAGCTGTTTGTACCGTTGTGAGCAGTTACCAGAGAAAAGTGTTTTACCTTTTATCTTAAGATTTGGTTTTAAAAGGCTGGCTCAGACTTATATTTCTAAAGTGTTTAGCTGCCATTCATTTATTCACTTATTTATTCCTTCAAGAAGCCAGCA